ACCCATTCCCAGTTGGAAACCCAGGCCTCAGATTTAGAGGATGAAAAGATTTTTGGTCTAAAAAGATTCGATTACCGTTATCGATGGCCAGAGAGGGAACCATTTCCCTTCTGATTATTTTAAACAGTCACCTATAAACACTTAACAGAAGTCCTGTTATTCAATTTCAAGTAGTTTTAGGAGAGTACCTGCATCTGCTGGCTTGTGAAAGGGCCGTAGACTTCTGAATTATCCTTATTTTCCCACTTGTACTCCCACATCACTTCATCGCTCACTGGATGGAAGGCAAAATGGGATTAAACCAAAAATACAGTCTTTGAAAATTAAAGCAGATAAAATAACTAAATTACCTCTATTATTGTCATCTTTGTCCTCAGCTGTTTCACCATGCTTCTCATCAAACTTGTCAGCAAACATGTCAAGCTCCTCTCCTTCCTCCTCCTCACCCCCCACCGCTGGCCGCTTGCTAGTCATGCTCTTTAACATGTAGGCCAGTTTTTCGTAGGTTTGCTGATAGATTTCAAACATCCCGGATCCAACCAGTCGGTCAGCTAGCGCTGTGAGCCGATCAAGCTTTTCTTTATCCCCTTTGGTCTCCTCTGTGGATTTTTCTTCTTCCCTCAGCTTTCCCTTCTTCCGTCCTCCAAGGCCTCCTAACCGACGGAGCGCTGTAGCGACTGTTTCTCCAGGCTGCAGTAGTTCGATGACAGCTTCAGTGAGCTGGTGCTGTGTGAAGGATGCCAGTGGGTCCTCTGGAGGCTCTGCCTCTTCCTCCTCCTCCTCTTCTTCTTGGTCTGCTTGCTGTTCTTCTCTCTGTTTTTCTTCCTCTGCCTCGTCCTCATCACCTGCTCTGCGTGTCCTTTTGGCTCCAAGACCTTTCTTCTTTTTTTTGAAAGGCTGCTCTCTTATTCTCACCTGAAGAAAGAAGAGACTTTTATTACTGAACACTGTTTAAAATATGAAGCACCTGTCACCAAAATGAGATTACAAACTCGTGAAATACAAAGACACCAACACTCAAAAGCAGATTTCGGGCTGAAAAAAGCAGACAAAAAAATAAAAACAGTGAGAGAAAGAATAAACAGTGGTGTAATACAAAGGAACTCAATTACCCAGTCAATGTTATCAAGCCAGTTGTCTCTAATCTGTTGCTCCTTTTTGATGAAATAGTTCCCCTCTGAGTCAAAGTGTCCTTCTTGCATCTCCTCTTCCAGGTTGAAAGGAGTAATAGAAACTCCCTCATCAAAGTCAATGGTTGCTCCCTCTTGACCTGAAAACACAGTTGGCATAGTCGTATTAACCAACTACTCACAAATGATGCTTACGGGTTTTTTCCTGGATTAAAGCGGGTCTTTGGCAAAGCAGTATGTATGTGTTGCTATATTTGCATTTTGTTATTTATGACCATTTATTTCACTTGTGATTTTCCATTGGCTGTGACTAAAAACCCACTGGGGTGCTGCCAAAATTCGCTCTATGTAGGAAAACCCCTGATTGAGCCAAAACAACATCTTTCACTTGCATAGGACAGAAATCAGAGAATTCAGCACCCCCTCTCGCTAAAATGGGTTTGATTTCTTTAAAGTGGGATTAGGTAGGGACACATAATTAAGCAAACTTTAATCTTGATCAGGACTTTGGATTCCCACAATTAAATGAGTATAATCCTGTGATATTTAGAATACATGCTCCAACAGTTAAAACCTTGACTACCTAACCACATGTGTGAATGTACCACACAAACTGAAATTACCTAGATGTAGTCTGGATGACTAAAACAGTGTTAAAAGACAGATATACAGGGTGGGCCATTTATATGGATACAGCGTAATA